CTGATTACGGCAGACAGCTTCATGTGCCACATGATGAATTGTAATTGTTAGAACCTTTTATAAATGGCTATTATGGTGCCACAAAGAAAGACTACTTGAGTTTTTACAAGTTAATTTTTATTAGATAACATGTAACTGGCACACTACTATTACACAGCCCTGCATCTTGATTTGCAAAAATGATATGAACTCATAATGATGCCGAGTTACCATATACAGTTTTTTTTTCCCACAACATAACATTAGTTTTAATGCACATATCAACAAGAGGTTTGCTTGTAATGACAAAAGAGTATTCAAAATGAACCATTTAACTAACAATCTGCAAAAAAATATATTTGTGCAAGTTTATAAACAAGCTTTCTTTTTCATAAAATCTGTAATTTTACATCACGTCTTTGGATGTACAGTAGTAAAACACCCAAAAATGTGCAGTAGAATTGGTCATGTTTGCATTTGCTTCTTTCACAGGCCACAATTTTAACCTTGAAATCAGGATTAGGCATAAAATAATGTTTCCAGAATCATTCATACAAGTGAAAATCGGCTGAGAATTGAACAAATAGTTATAACCTGGCTCAGTGTAGGATAGGAATCATGTATTCATGTCAGTTTATCTTGTGATTAAAGGATAATACAAGACTTCTTCGCCTTACAAATGGTTGTCAAAAGCAGAAATGCTATGAAAAGCACATTTTATGAGAAAGTGGGACATGCTAGAGCAAAACGAGCACTATTTTTGAAATCGGCATCACAAAATTAGTAAGAAACGCGTAGGATTGGATTTCATTCAGCTAAAATGATGCAGGGTGGTGTTGTCTAGTGAAATAGATTAACTATTGAGAAATTGTCTTTCATTTGAACTAAGCTGTATTAGATGCACTTTTCTTTTGGCCCTTTCTATATAAAATCCGTAGCTATCACACACAGTTGCTGTGCTGTCACTTGAAGTCAAAAGATATTCAAATCAATTTAACTGCTACCACCTCGCTATTTCTGCAGTTATGAAGAAACAACTCAACTCTGCTTAGATTTCGATGGCTTTGTTTGCTCCAAATCTCTTTGACACCTAAAGACTGACTCTTAATATTTTCCAAAAGCCCACTGTTTGAGATGTTCCATCCTATCTAGTATTCAAATGGCTGCTGAATGTATGCGTATTATCTGTCGGCCATGCTCTCTGTGGTCAATGACATATAGGAGAGAGCTTCCTCATCTCAGTCAAACCTGAGCACTACGGGTGTACTGTGAACAGTGGTTTCCCTGCGTATGGTATTGTCAGTTCTTTCATTTTTCTTAATTTCGGTTTTGTTTCCTTCTGTGTGCTTGCGACATTCCTAAAAGCAGCCTGTGAAATGACACCGTTACAATTCAAAGATTCTTTTTGGGTAAGTACATGAGTTGAGCTATTTTGACAGATTAGATTGAATGTTGTTGTCTGTTAGGGCTGACATGACTGAGGTTAACAATACTGCATATGGTAATATGTCTTTAACTTCCAATAATACACTAGCATCACAATACCCTTGGTCCACTTATTAAATCTCAGAATTTTTTGTGCACTGCCATTCTCGTTCATTTGTATCAGGAATTACTGTTTCTTTAAATAAGACATTGAGGGTATTTCAAACTAAGAATGATTTTTTGTTTTTTAAGATTTTTAGGAATAGGATTTTTGCCTTTTTTAACAAAAAATACTTCTCTACATTTGAGGGTTTATATTTAGACATCCTCATATTGTGTCATGGAGATGATCTGTGGGCTTCCTGTTGAGCGTTTAACTGTGTGCCCACTCTATCCTCTTTTTAGCTTTGATCTTGTATTGTCAGAGCATCTATCTACAAAGCAGCTTCTGGGTTGATTTGCCTGTCAAACCATGCTAGTGCTGTTCAGTGTTGAAGGTGCATGTAAAATATATTCTACAGTTATGTAAAAATAGTACTATTGTTTTCTTTCTGTTGCAAATGTAAGATATGTTAATATTATTAATATAGCATCCCATGTCAATAAGCACAGTAAATGATTAAACTGTTTAACCACCTCAGACAGTCTGGTACCACATATTATTTTTTGCATAGATACCAACTGCTTCAAATAAGGCCTAATTCAGGATTAAAACTGAAATGCACAGAGATATATCGAAATGGAATCTCTTTTTTCTTTTTCAACCTAATCATGTTATAATAAACAATCATGTTACTGGAGAAATATAATCTAATCCTCATGGGTCCAGGGCCCAGAATTCACAAGTAACACCGGATATGAGACTCTTATCCAGAGGCTATGTGATGGGCGACGAGCTTGCAAAGATATGGAGGAGCTCTTAAGAATGAGGTAACAACTGAAAATTGCATATTTATATTTATTTCTACAAGACGCACTGTGTAGCATTGGTTAAGTATTGAGCTGTATTGGATTGGATAACAATGCAGTTTTCTACTCGTAGAGCGATGGCAGAGGAACGGTACGGCAAGGAATTGATTACTATTGCACGCAAGACAGGAGGGCAAAGTGAAATTGGGTAAGAAAATATTGTATGTATTTTTTTTTTATATATATATTTATTGCAGTATAAATTGGCTTCTGGATTTAACATTTTGCATACAAATAATTAAAGGTTTATGAGCATGAGTCTTTTTTATCTTTGTTTTTATTGCTTTGGTATTGTAGTACTTTGAAGGCATCATTTGACCAGCTAAAAGCCCGTAAGTAACACTTCAAATATATATTTGCTAAGTGCCACTGAGAAATATATTAAAGAAAGTAAGGAATAAACAGTATCAGCTACATCTACTAACTAAACCCAAACTTACAAGATCACTAATGAATATGCTGTTTTCTCACCTAGAAATGGAGGACATCGGAAATTTGCACATTCAGCTCTCTGGGATGTTACGAGAAGAGGCGAAACGAATGGAGCAGTTCAGAGAACGACAAAAGGAGCAGCGAAAAAAGGTTAAACGCCATGTGATGCTTTAATTAATTTACATTTGCAGAACCGCAAACCACTTGCTCACATGTTTATTTTATGTTTAAAATTGGGTGAACAAAAACTGAGGACTGTACTTGTGTTCAAACCAAGATGCTTCTTAACACCTGTTACCTATCAAGCACTTACCTATCAAATGTTTACTTTTTACAGTTTGAAGGGGTTATGGAAAAGGTTCAGAAGACCAAAGTGTCATTATATAAGAAAACCATGGAGGTAAGTCTAATTTACTTTAACATATTAGTCACTTCAGTTTTGTAGGCTACTCAGTTCATCCTGTATTTGCCTAATAGAGACTGAAAGCAGAATATCAGGAAGAGGAAGGGTGAAAAGAGAGTGATTTAAATCATCAGTGCATACGCTAACCTCTGTGCAGCAAGTGTGCAGGGCAGAGGGGGGGATGGGACTTTTAAAATGTTGTAACTGTCATCTCAGGAAGTCTCACTTCTCTACTAGAAGTATATTTCCTTCTCGCCCGCACACTTTTGTTGGCTCCCACTGACACAGCCTGTTTTCTCAATGTTAGGTTTTCTCTCTTCCTCATATATTCACAATTTCCTGACAACAGACGTATTGTATTGTATTGTCAAGAAAACTCGTGTTTCTGTTTTTCTTGGTACATTCAAACAAATTCAGAAAGCAAAGGCACACATTATCGTATAGCATTCTGTTTTGATAAACAAAAGAGTGAATGGGAATCTGATCTATTCAGATCAGGAACTGTAAAGTTATTTGTGTGACTTGAGGTAAGATGAGGGTTATGATTTCTAAAGGACAGGAAGTTAGTCCAAACCTCAGAAGATATGCTTCATAATCTACCACCATTGTTTATAAGCACACTACTGTAGGTCAATGGGACTGTCACTGTAGTGAAATTTATATTAGAAAGTATATTGTAAATGTACAGTAATAAAAACTCAAATGAAGTTCATTTTTTATATGTGACCCTGGAGCACAAAACCAGCCATAAGTAGCACAGGTATATTTGTAGTACATTGATAAAAATACATTGTATGGGTCAAAATTATCGATTTTTCTTTTATGCCAAAAATCATTAGGATATTAAAAGGTTAGTTCACCCAAAAATGAAAATTCTGTCATTCATTCATGCACAATTCATTCACCCTCATGTCGTTCCACACCCCTAAGACCTTCGTTCATCTTCAGAACACAAATTAAGATATTTTTGATCAAATCCGATGGCTCAGAGAGGCCTCCCTTGACAGCAATGCCACCCAAACTTTCAAGATCCATAAAGGTACTAAAGACGTCGTTAAAACAGTCGACGTGACTACAGTGGTTCTACAATCATTTTATGAAGCGACGAGAATACTTTTTGTGCACAAAAACAAAACAAAAATAACGACTTTATTCAACAACCTCTTCTCTTCTGTGTCATTCTCATACGTTGTTTACGTCCAGCGCTTCCAGGTTCTACGTCAGAACGCCGGCTCATTATTGGACGGCTCCTGTATCAGCATCACACGCATGTGTCACGCAGCTCACATGTGCAGCTTTGGCCAATAATGAGCCGGCGTTCGGACGTAGAACACAGAAGCCTTCACTGTGCTTACTGCGTTAACCACGTAAGGATAATGACAGGGAAGAGAAGAGATTGCTGAATAAAGTTATTATTTTTTTGTTTTTGCGCACAAAAAGTATTCTCGTCGCTTCATAAAATTATTGTAGAACCACTGTAGTCACGTCGACTGTTTTAACGACGTCTTTAGTACCTTTATGGCTCTTGAAAGTTTGGGTGGCGTTGCTGTCAATGAAGGCCTCTGAGCCATCGGATTTGATCAAAAATATCTTAATTTGTGTTCTGAAGACGAACAAAGGTCTTAGGGGTGTGGAACGACATGAGGGTGAGTAATTAATGACAGAGTTTTCATTTTTGGGTGAACTAACCCTTTAAGTAAAGATCATATTCCATGAAGATCTTTTGTGAATTTCGTACTGTATATATATCAAAACTTCCCAGCAGGCACTGGACGTCTATGTAACGTCAGGTTGGCGTTGGACATGACGTCAGACAGACGTTGCATTTTGGTTGAAAATGAAAATCGTGTTGACGTCAATTTGACGTTGAATTTACATTGAATTTTGGTCACCCGACGTCGCAACCGAAATTTAACCAAATATCAACGTCTTATGACGTTGTGTGCCTGCTGGGTTAATTTTTGATAAGCAATATGCATTGCTAAGAACTTCATTTGGACAACTTTAAAGGCGATTTTCTCAACATTTTGATTTTTTTGCACCTTTAGATTCCAGATTTTCAGATAGTTGTATCTCGGCCAAATATTGTCCTATCCTAACAAACCATTCATCAATGGAAAGCTTAGTTATTCAGCTGAAAATTTTTTTTGAAAAAAAATTAAACCCCAGCAAAATGTATGTATAAATAATTTTGTATGCTTAAGTCAACTGAATGCTACAATCTTCTAGTTAGCAGTAGAAGGAGACCAGCTAAATGAATTACATATACTGTAGTAAAGTTTCGTTTTCCATCAGCTTGTTGTATGTCTTGTACTTCTGTTGCTTTGTAGTGGATGGATGTATATTTACATTAAGGCATTTATTAATGCATTGATTTGGAGCAGACTGATTGAATATGTGAGTGAAACCAGTTGGGTCAAAAAGTAACACTTTTCAGGTAGATTACGAAAGTCTAATCACACTTTTTCTGTGAGATAAGACTTTTTCATGAGATAAGAGAGTGTAGACTGAGGTTAGAATCAAGTTTAAAGATAAGGGGAAATTTCCTGCTTATTAATTAAAATTAGATTAAATATGTTTAGTCATTTGTGGTTAATTTGGCCATCATTCAAGTCTAGGTGAGCAGTGGTTTAATAACCCTGTATCTTCCTGCTTTTCCCAGTCTAAAAGGACATATGAACAGAGGTGTAAAGAGGCTGATGAAGCTGAACTGGCTGCTGAGAAGCTCAACAGTACATCCACTGTCACCCCCAAACAATCTGAAAAGGTAAATTATGGGTCATTATGGGCAGAATTTGTGTGGTTGTCAAATATTACAACATACACTAGCGTTCAGTTTGGGGTCAGTAAGGTTATTTATTTATTTATTGGCAGAAATAAATACTTTTATTCAGCAAGGATGCATTAAATTGATCAAATGTGAC